TCCCCTCCTGGACCCGATCCTGGCTCCCTCCCCTCCTCTTCTGGCCCCGATCCTGGCTCCCTGCCCCTCCTCTTCTGGCCCTGATCCTGGCTCCCTGACCCTCCCCTCCTGGCCCCGATCCTGGCTCCCTGACCCTCCTCTCCTGGCCCCGATCCTGGTCAGTGCCTCACCTCCTTCCCATCCTTGGCCCTGGTCCCAGCCCCAATCCTGAGTCCTCATCCTCCCTGCGCCTCCCATGCTTGGGCCTAGTCCCGATCCTGGCTCCTCATCCTGCCCCCTTCGTCCCTGGGCCCTGGCTATCCCCATGCCCCCTCCTGATCCCTTTTCTCCATGCCCCTAAGCCAGGGGTTCTCAAAACTGAGGGGTGCGACCCCTCAGGGGGTTGTGAGGTTATTACAGGGGGGGTCGTGAGCTGTCAGCCTCCACCCCAAACTCCGCTTGCCTCCAGCATTTATAATGGTGTTCAATATATTAAAAAGTGTGTTTAATTTATGAGGGGGGTCGCACTCAGAGGTTTGCTGTGTGGAAGGGGTCACCAGTAAAAAAGTTTGAAGACCCACTGCCCTAAGCATACTGGGCTCCAGTTACCCACAGTCTTCTCCCAACCAGTACTTGTGCTGCTGTTGCCCCACAGCCCTAGCCAGGTCATGGCTAGGACACCCTCTAGACCAGGGGTTCTCAAACTGGGGGTTGGGACCCCTCATGGGGCCAGGAGGTTACATGGGGGGCGGGGTCACGAGCTGTCAGGCTCCACCTCCAAACCCTGCTTTGCCACCAGCATTTATAATGGTGTTCAATATATAAACAAGTGTTTTTAATTTATAATGGGGGGGGGAGGGGGCGCACTTAGAGGCTTGCTATGTGAAAGGGGTCACCGGTACAATAGTTTGAGAACCACTGCCCTATACCTAGTTAGTGAGATTTGCACATCAGCCTGCAGGTGCCTGCTTGCAAACCTGAATGGCAAACCCCAGACCTGTATTAGACTCTGTGAAACTCTTCAAAAAAACAAGGGATGAGAAACAATTTCATAAGGTTTTCATTTCACCAGGTGGACGTAAGGTTGCCAGCTTGCTACTCGCACAAAACCGAAGATTCTTACCCCACCCCCTGCCCTGCCCCTCCTCCGAGGCCTTCTCTGAGGCCCCGCCCCCGCGCTCACTCCATCTCCCCCCACCCCCCGTCGCTCGCTCTCCCCCCACCCTCACTCACGCGCTCATTTTCACTGGGCTGGCTCAGGGGGCTGGGGTGCAGAAGGAGATGAGGGCTCTGGCTGGGGGTGCGGGCTCTGGGGTGGGGCCAGAAATGAGTTCAGAGTGCGGGAGGGAGTTCCAGGCTAAGGCAGTGGATTGGGATGCGAGAGGGGATGGAGGGTGCGGACTCTGGGGTGGGGCCAGGGATGAGGGGCTTGGGGTGGACGAGGGTGCTCCAAGCTGGGACCAAGGGGTTCAGAGGGCAAGAGGAGAATCAGGACTGGGACAGGGGGTTGGGGCGTGCGGGGGAGTGAGGGCTCTGGCTGGGGGTGCAGGCTCTGGGGTGAGGCCGGGATCAAGGAGTTTGGAGGGCGGGAGGGGTATTGGGGCAGGGGGTTGGGGCCCCAAAGGGGATCAGGGGTGCAGGCTCCGGGCGGCGCTTATCTCAAGCAGCCCCCGGAAACAGTGGCATGTCCCCCCTCCGGCTCCTACATGGAGGCGAGGCCGGGCAGCTCTACGCGCTGCCCTGTCCGCAGGCCCCACCCCCACAGCTTCCGTGTCGAGCCAGAAGTGGGGATATGCCGGCTGCTGCCCGGGAGCCACACGTCGCGGAGGCTAGCAGGGAGCAGCGCTGCCAACCAGACACCTGGTCACCCTAGGTGGAGGGTTAATTTCCTCCCTTGAAAAGTGGTTTTACTTGCCTATGACACCACTGCACATATATGATGGCCCTAAAGCAAAACCAACCATTCTAGGCTGATAGAGGTGCAAAAAGCAAACCTTTTGCAAGAAAGAAGAAGAGTCTGTTCCGTTTTGATCATTGCAGGTGTTATGAGTTACTCATAAAAGCAGTGTAAATTCTTTGGGGAAGGGAATGTGCCTTCTTTTGTGTTTGCCTGTGCTTAGCACATGGTGGATGCCACCAGAAACATAATAAAAATAAAATTAACTACATAATTATTAAAGTGCTGATGGTGTGCTCAGTTCTGTACAAAGCACAGTAAAACACGGCCCCGACTCCAAGGCCGTTTAAAATCTAAATGGCTTGACAATCCAATTCAGGCACACGATGCACTTGGTGACCCACGGAATAGCTTTGTCTTAGCTCATAACTGGATTGTTTGTTTGTTTGTTTTTTTATTAGGTATGTGACAGCAGTTTTACTGAAGTGGGCTAGCACTGGATGGCTTCACGGAAGAAGTGAGTTATAAGGAGGGATTTTCTTGATAGGGCCTTTAAACGACATTTCATTTTAACAAGGAGTTGTCAAGCCTGCTGCTTTTCCAGAAATGTAATGCTGCACCGATAGCCCTGCCAGAAAAGTTTTAAAAGGGCTGAGGGGCCACCTAAGCCTCCATAAACTTCAAGATATTACAGCACCAACCACAATCAGAGCTGTTTCCTTGATCTTTTGCTGCACTGATAAATCATTTATCGGTGCGGCCTTTGCAGAAAATCCCTGAGGGAAAAGGCCATAAAAATGCACTGATAACAAAATGCTGCTGTCCTGCTTGCGGTGTGCAAATGCCTCTGATCTGGTGGCACATTCTATTTTTTGCTGTTCTTTTTTTGTCCCACGAAAAGTACAGATTAAGGGCTTGTCTTCACATACAGGTGCAGCTGCGCCACTGTAGCACTTTAATGAAGACGCTGCTACGACATCAACGGGAGAGCGTCTCCTGTCGGCATAGTCAATCCACCTCCCCGAGAGGCGGTAGCCGTGGCAACGGGAGATGCTCTCCCATCCACATAGCGCTGTCTACACAGGGAGTTAGGTCAGTATAACTACATCGCTCGGGGGGGTGGATTTTTCATACCCCTGAGCGAAGTATTTATACTGTTATAGGTCTGTAATGTAGACCTGGTCTAAGATCAAAAAAGCAATGTGCAAAATTCAAGACAGTCTAGTGATTTTCAAAACAGATAGTGTTTACTTCCAGTTGAGCCCTGAGAGAATAAATAAATAAAAAAGTGCTAGTATAAGTGTGCATGTACCAGTAAATGACACAGTCCCTACATAAGATACAACAGACAGTGGGTTCTAGAGGAGAGGAACTAGGAGGGTTACAGGAGGATGATAATAACATGATTGCTTTGGATTGCAGTGTGAGCATCTTGCTGGTTCTGAGTATGAAATAATGCTAGTATATCAATACTTGGGTTAATTAATAATACAGTAATAATACTCTGTATATTTCTACAGCACTTTTCCAAGGATCTAAAAGTGCTTTACATGCATTATGGCTGGTCCTTGTTATTACCAATACTTACTTATCTATTATTGTTTTTCAAGAGGAGTCAAGGGCCTTTGGCATATTGTTGGTGCAGGCCCTTTATGGGGAGAGCAAGAGACCACAAAGTGTCCAAACTGGTACATTTATTGAAGGGGGATAAAAAACAGAATGAACAGCTGATTAGTTTCATTCACATGTTTGAGAATCATCCGGTCTGGACTACAGCGACTGAGGCCCGTGATGTGATTGCTTATTTGAGGAGGCAGAGAACTGCATTTCTTTAATGCTAGATTAAGTAGCAGTGACAAGAGAGTGGATACTAAGATAAAATAGTCTGTGTTTGCCAACCGGAGAACGTTGCACAACTGCATCAACTCTCCGAAAAGCAGGCAGAGGATGGATTCAGAGCGGTGACACAGCAATCTTGATGGATTTCTCTGCAGTCAGCAAAAGACAAATCTGCCAAACCCAAAGGTTTAAATATCAGAAGAGAAAGCAGAGTTAGAAATTCAGATTTATTTCCAGCATGGAATACACACAAACCGTGTTCCCAGTGTATGTAGCCCTATATGGTACCACAAGCAAGCAGCACAGGGTCTTGAAATATACAGAAAAATACCCCAGCTTGGGGATGGTTGTTCTGTTTCTGATTTACAAAGAGCTTCTTCAGACTTTGATTGCATCAACTTTCTTCCCAACAAGTGAACTGCCTCAGAAGTTGTGTTGGCCAGTTGTGTGACCCTGTTTAGAGTTTGCATATCATAGCTGTGCAGGAAGGATGCTCCTGTGGTTAAGGCGTTAGGCTGGGACTCAGGACATTTGTAAGCAGCGGAATGGTCCCGCTGTTGTGGGGAACTTTCCTGGCTTCTGTACTACCCCGGTGGAATCAGATAGCAAAAGGATCTGAGTCCTCGCTCCAACGCCCTTTACCTGGATACCTGCCTGACCTTGAGAACTCCTCTTCCACTCTACCATGCAGCAATCCTCGTAACCCTGATAAAGCTGGGCCCAGGATTCTTGGGAGGCTTAACCCCCGTCTTGTCATGGTCACGTAGTGCAGGGGCTAGGGTGTCCCCACTCCAGGATATTGGCCGCTCACCAGCCACTTCCCTGACTCCACTGATCACTACGTTAACTTTAAACTAAATACAATTTATTAAACAGCAACTGTAAGAAAAATATGCGGGGAAA